GATCGACAATGGAGCCTGCGCTGCTGATATTCTTCACTCCTCGAGGCTCTACTCTCGCCCGTTGAGAAATGCCAAGGTATTAGACGTATTTCACTAAACTTAAGGGGAATTTTTAACAGGTATACTATTTTCATATATGCATTTATAGTTGTAAGTGTGCATGCATGAATCAATTTAAGTAGTTTTGTAGATGTATGATTTAATTTTAAAAGGAATTTTATATTGCTGTATTATTCTTATAGCATTACTCTCCTAAACCGTTGACCAAGTCTGAGACTAGGACTAGACCTAGCCGCACCTAGGCTGCTCTCTGAGAAGGAGTTTAGAAAGCAAGGGGGTCTAGTCTAAACCTCGTGACTCAACAGGAGGCACCCCCCCCCCCCCCCCCTCTCTCCTCCTTGGAGGGCTCCCCCCGCCCCCTTGCCTTTATTCCATATATACACAATCCTTTTATGAATCATTTTAACTCATTGTGATTTAATTCTCTTTTATGTGCTTCTATGTAGTAATAGAGTGAACCTTGCCATCTTCGAATCTGTAACTAAGTCACTGTTTTGATCAATTTTGTCTAATCACTTTATTAATCATTGATGATTGAGTGCTATTGAAAATATTATAATCAAATTCTGCAATTCACTACAAGTAAATTCCAACTTTTACTAAATCAAACTGTGTAAAATCACTCATCCATAGTGAATTGACATAATCAGCAGGATTCACAGACCTGCATTTGTGACAATCCCCAAGTGTATTTTGGAAGAGAAGAGCATATTGGGTGTTAGGGAAATCGCCATCTGTAATTCCATGTGACTTTATTCCCTTGACTACAAAGGTGTGCAACAGCCCATTTAAACAAGTTTTTGTTCTTTAAGCCTTGCTACAGAAGACTGGAACTTCTCTGAACCATTCCAGGCTTGTCCTAAATTATTTTTAGCTTTTTTTTTTTTTTTCCCCTCAGCTTTAGCAACATTTATTCAGAGTTTCTGAATGTAGAAAAACTGAAGTTCTTTTCACTTTTAATTCCACAACACTGAACATGGATTCATTAAAAATGTTTGGCCAGGATTTTTTAAAATGCCACAGCTCCTTTGCACAGGATCTACAGCTCACCGAGTCCAGAACCTGGATTACATCTGGAATTAAATCCTCATTGCAGTTTACAGCTGACTTTGATTTAGAGGTTAAGAGAAAATCAGGAAGGGTACATGACAGAAAAATGACTTGCAGTTGTCTGCTCAGTGAGCATGTGCTTAATCATGGCAAAGCTGAATGAGGCCCTATTCTTTTGTAGCAGCAACACATTGGCCTGACCTTGGGATCTCAACTGGAACAAGAGCACTTTTTCTGCTTCTGGTCTGTCTTTATTTGTGCAGCTTAATGACCAGATAAGAGATGCACAGAGCATCTTCCAGAAGATAATGGTCTCCTTCGTTTCCTACTTGCCACAATGGCAGCAAAGAAAATGTTGCACCACTGAGAGAGCTCACCCAGCACCATGCCAGCAGTGCAGTCTCTCTTGAGGTTCACTAGAAATGATAAACCAGAGAATGTGTGAGCATAACAGAAAATCCACAGTCATTGATTTATACCTCATGAGCTGCTAATGGATGACAAGCATGCTGTTAATAATTTACAATAGCATCTCATACTGTCATTCATATATCTCAGTCTTAACAAAAAAAAAATCACAGTCTTAACAAGCTGGAACTTCCCTCTAACAATGTACCCATCAAGTGTTGAGAAGAAAAATCTTGGGAGTTACTTTTGTAATATGCAATGTAGAAAAGTCCAGATAATGAGGATATATTATGGATCAGTTTCCACTGGAAGAATTTAGATGAAAAACACTTTACAATATGTCATGCAGTGGCTTTGATCTTGAAGCTAAGCAGAACTTATTCCTTTTTGGTTTTTGACAGACAGGAAATGTAAAATGTGACCTCAACATTCATTTGATTTTTCAGTCAGGATTTTGAAACTGTGCTTCTCCTTCTACTAAATTCTCAGGGTCCAAGCTGCTTGGTGTGTCCTGCTGGTGTGGTGTGGGAAATTTGGGCCACATTCTAAAAAAAAAGACACAGGAACGTAAAAGGAGCTAAGCAGGGGCACAAATCCAGCACAGTGATGGAAGCAACAGAATGGGGGCACATTACAAGCAATTATGCTACGACCAGGTACACTTTTGACATAGCTTCCTACAGGGAAGAATACTGAAAGGAACAGGAAAGCTCAGCTGATTAACGTGTGGCTCAGAGGCTGGTGCCATCAGTGGAATTTTGTTTTTTTTCGATCATGGGGAGATTTACACACCAGTGGGTGAGGGAACTGGGATTGTTTAGTCTGGAGAAGAGGAGGCTGAGGGGAGACCTTATCGCTCTCTACAGCTACCTGAAAGGAGGGTGCAGTGAGGTGGGTGTTGGTCTCTTCTCCCAAGTAGTTAGCGATAGGACAAGAGGAAATGGCCTCAAGTTGCATCTGGGGAGGTTTGGACTGGATTTTAGGAAAAATTTCTTCACGGAAAGAGCAGTCAAGCATTGGAACAGGCTGTCCAGAGAGCATCGGAACAGGCTGCCCAGAGAGGTGGTGGAGTCACCATCTCTGGAGGTGTTAAAAAAACATTTAGATGTGGCACTTTGGGACATGGATTAGTAGGCACAGTGGTGTTGGGTTGATGGTTGGACTGATGGTCTTAGAGGTCCTTTCCAACCTTAATGATTCCTAGTTTTACTTTCATTAAAAAATAATCCAGCCACCAAGCCAGGAAACATCAAATTATTACTCTACCCTTAACTGGTTTAGTGGTGGACTTGGTAGTGTTAGGTTAATGGTTGGACTGGATGATCTTAAAGGTCTTTTCCAACCTAAATGATTCTATGATTCTATTCTATGATTCTAAGTATTTCTAGGTCATACCTCACACCTCACTAGGTGATAGGGAACAGCAGCAGGGCTGGGAGCTGCAGCCCCAGCACACACTGCTCCTGCAAGGAGCAGCCAGACCACCTTCAGATGCTGCTGAGAGTCAGAGGAGACCAGGCACAGTTGATGCCCCTGAGGACATCATCAGGCTGGCTAGAGCAAGACCTTGTCTGCAGGGAGAGGGGCTGGGCAGGGTTTTACACACACCTTTCTTTCTGCCCCCTGCTGCCACTGGCCACTTTGGGTAGTTTGTCTGTTTGTTTCCAGATTTCAGTTACATCATTCCTTTTGGGAGAATCCTTATTTTGGTACTGGCTTGCTTCAGTTGATGCTGTACCCTGTCCTGAGGTACTGCAATTTGCCTACATGCTACTTTGATCTTAGGTCCTAATTTTAGGGAATTTATTCCAATCTGGAATAATGCAGATGCAACAGAGTTTAATGAAAATGCCACATGAGATGTCAGCACAGTCTCTTTGGCCATTAAATTCTGGAATCTCTGAGTCAAGTATTAGTAGCTTCATTTCTGAGAAAGGTTAAAGTTCTCCTGAGTCCTGTGAGCTCCTTCTACCTTAACGTAAGAGTTACACAATTATGAAGGTAGCAGCAGATTAATAGTCTTCTGCCAGCAAGTACAAAGCTAATAATAGCTCAGGAATCCCAGATCAGGAACTACACAGACAACTAAATTTAGCTCAGGGATCAAGGTCTATCTGTTCAAAGCAAAGAGGTTTGGTGCCACTTCAACCCTTAACTCTACATCTCAGAAAAATGAGAGCAGTCTGGGCTCGACTACAAAAAACTGCTATGCAATTGGAGCCTGATTTCAGGTCATGCTACTGTGTTGAAAGAAATCTATGTTCACCTGCATGGGAAAAACAATTCCCCAGCCCACAGTGTAGCTTGACTCCCTTTCTTAGCTGGTGGCCTGGACAAGAGTTTCCTTTTAGCACTTCATGAAGCTGCTGACAACTTGATTCCAAGGGTTCTGTTGACCTCAGGGAAGTACAAAGGTGCAGTGTCCATACTGGGAAATGGCCTCAACAGCAACATTTTTTATCCCTGGCATATGGTCTCTTATCTCTGTGGTCTCTTTCAAGTGGCATAGTGGTGGGCAAAGGGCAAGCAGGTAGCAGTGTTGTCTCACCTGAGAGCTGGCTGGCCATTCTACGCAAGGTAACAGGTGATGGTTTAAGTGGCATTGAGCCTTTTTCCAAAAAAATCAGCTCATCTGCTGTGTATCTCTGTTCTGATTCCTTGAGCCTTCCCAGAGGGTTCTTAATAACAAAGTTCTGGGCATATCGTTCCAATGGGTCATCAAGAGACATGACTTTTCCTTCCTCCCACATCTTGTACAACATAATGGTGGGAAAGATCTTGGAGACACTGGCAATTCTGTTAAGGAACAAACATTTATAGAAATTAAGCATTAGAAAACCCATGAATCAAGAGGAAAGATGGTCAGTACATGAGATCACCATCTGTGATCACTGTCTATAGCTTTACATGCAACACCTTTGCTATTTCAGAAAGAATGGCTAAAATGCAGGTAAGAAGCTTGAATTAATATCCTTAACTCTGGCCTTTATGGACTGCAACATAACCTTCAGCAGTATCTCCCCAATAGTGCAGTAGGCTACAGCACTTTTTCTGTTCACTTGGTATTCATAAGATGACATGTTTCACAAATTATTGCTTAGTAAATACCATAACAAGTTGCAAGTAGTTTATTGGAGTTTTAAGGTTAAAATGCCATAAAGTTTTACTTTTCCTATTCAGAGCTGATAGTTGGGTGGCTTCTAGAAAAGAGTCAAATTTACAGAAGGTCTTCTGGAACAGGACTCCGATTCTATTTTGTTGGTTTTCGGAAATGGGGCTATGATTAAGAGGGACCGCTGGGGGCATTTCTATTGTGCTGCTAGAGGTCAAATTCTTGGACCGGTGCAAGATGACCTAGAGCAAAAACATTTGCCAAGAATGTTTTCATTAATCAAGAATGAAAGTCAGAAGTTTGAAGATGGTCAGATACTGTTGTAGTTCTGACCATAAATTATGTTGACTGGCAAGAAATTTTCAGGGGAGTCTCTGTGGCACAATTGGTGAGTGCGTTTGGCTGTTAACTGAAAGGTTGGTGGTTCAAGCCCACCCAGGGCTGGGTTCCCCTTTCCCTGCCCATGGTAGGGGGGTTGGAAGTAGATGACCCTTAAGGTTCTTTCCAACCCAAACTATTCTATGATTCTGGAAGAAGGGTCATGTAGTCATCTACACAGGGATTTTACCATGATACAAAGGGGAAAAAACAGGTAATCACAGCTGCTGAAACTTTCTAAAATTGTTTATTCTGAGGACATTTGATAGCTAGAGTGCAGCCCATATGTTTCATATATGGTACAGTTATAAATCACTGAAAATAGATCTTTAAAGGAAGTAAACACTTCCTTTGTATTTGTTTTTGGTTTTTAACACATACTAAGAGCTTGATTCTATCTTCATCTAAAAAATAATGGCCAATATGGCTTCCACTTCCCTGGGAGAATGAATAAGCATACAGGTCTACTTTATGTGTTTAGTACTCTTCCCAAATCCCATTTTTTGCTAGACTGAACTTTTTTTTTTACCCTATGGCACTGTCTCCTAGCTGTTCACAAAATCTGTGTTAGCTCTCAGTCCTCAGATTTGTGCCCTAGGCTTCCGCAAAGCATGGAGACATTCCTATGTAATGAGTAGTATGTTTTCAGGTTCTTCAGGACGGTTACTGCTATTCCAAAATTTAAAATTGTCTTTTTAAAAAAAAAAATAAAATCGTCAGATCAAACTAAAAATAGAAAAAAAAATGCCAAAGTAAACAACTCAGTAAGCCACAAGCATACGATAATTTAGGGACTAGCTGAAACATTGTCTCACAAAGTTTCAGTGTAACCCAGAAGAGGTTTCTGTAATGGACCTGAGCCAGTAGAAGATGTAGTTTGTGACAGTGGCTCTATTCCCAGATATCAGATCTCCATATGTATATCTGCTCTTTTTCTAGCTCTCATGCCTGTGATACCGCTGTCTCACCTGTAAATAGTGTACTCATTGGGCACCACTGAGGAGGGGTCCGAACCATTCTTCTTCCCAAAGTTGCCTGTCCAGAGCACAGTGTCATTGTAGATAACAATGGCAGACATGGCAGGGAGACCAGAACTATGAATCTTTTGGCGCAGCATCATATCTACCTGGAGAATGATGGGAAATTATTGATTTCCAGATGAAGAGTCTTATAATGCATCTAGTCTGCAGCAGGTGGTAGAAGACCCAGACCATGAGCCCTCCTTACTTCCAAGCACTTGAGAGTGATTTTTTTCAAATATGTTTTGGCAAAAGAAAATATTTTAACCATACTGTTCCTTTGAATTGCTTATGCTAAATTATCCAGCATCCTTCTTTCAGTGTAGATGTCCACCATGTAAAAGAATGTGGTGCTCATCCTTGTGATACCTATGATGCTTATATGATAAATGCAAAAACATAACAATTGTAATTTTTTCCTTTTTGATTTGTACTGTGCACATCTGTTCTTTGCACTAGTATTTCAGGTTCAAAGATGTATGAGAAAAAGATCCAGACTTTTCAAATATCCCATGACACTTTTCATGCCATGAAACACGCTAGAACTTGGACTCCTGTTTACACTGCAATCTGAGAAGCAGCACTGAGCAACTAGAGGGCTGCGATTGCTCTTTGCTCCCTGTTTTGCCAGGTTTGTGTAGACCTAATCATTGAGCTGTGCTCCACCCACCTCCTGCAAGCAGAATGCATTGGTCTTACTCTTTTATGACTTTTTCAAAGCTATGTCATTATCATGTCTAAGTTATCTTTTGCACAGAAAGGTTAAGACAAAGAAATGGCCAGCCCAGCATCTGAGACAAGAAAGGCCAAGTCGAGTCATGTCCTCAGCACCTCTTCACTGGATGGACTGGTGAGGTGCACTGACAGCCAGCAGTGGAAACATCCAACTTGTGCCAAGTCCTTTGGTAGTGGTTCTTTGCCCTCCCCTCCCCATGCGCCAGTGGCCCATCTAATAAGTTAGGTACATCAAGAACCTCCAGAGAACAGACTGGTCTCATGTCAGGAGGCATAGTCCTCCTTAGAGTTTTCTCAGAGTCTGGCATGTAGACCTGCCTGGACCTGCAGAAAGTTGACAGAAATACGTGATGCTCTTCTAGACTTGAGTATCATTGAATCTAATACTCAGCATTTGGATTTGTCCACTAGCAAGACTCTTCTGAGGAAAATGTAGGCCTTTCTGATAAGCAAAAGTATTTACCCTTAGAAGAGAAATGTTTTCTTAAGCCTCGTGCATGAGCAATTGTCACGCTCCTGTTTCAAGCTGCTGTGGGATAGGAAAAAGTTCTCCCCTGTATGCAATATAATCGCATCTGGTACTGTCCAGAGTCCCAGTTCCAGGGTCCCTGGCCTGGCACAGGATGGTAGTTTGTCTCAGGTAGTGCAAGATCTTTAGTGTGGGTTCAAGTGTCCACAGACTTAGACAGAACATAAGGGCATCTGAAGATACGCTTTTGAGGTGCTGGTGCCTAAGCTTCAAATACCTATGTCTTCCTATGCATCTATGTCCTGGTTTTGGCTGGGATAGAGTTAATTTTCTTCCTAGCAGTGGACATTATGCTGTGTTTTGAATATAGTATGAGAATAATGTTGATAACACACTGATGTTTTA